ATTGGTGGTACGTACACTGCCGATAGGATTAGAAGGAATGACCCACATAGAACCAAAAAAATATGCCTGCTTGCAATCAATAAAGCATACAAACTAATCACCAGGCAATAAGTCTAAATCCAAGACAAACGTAAACCAAGAGAATGTTTTATCTCCAACCAAAATGTATTCTCTGTTCTCTGAGATGTACCAAACGCGCGTTGCCTATGGCTTACGTACTGCATAGCTGAACATTGCCCTTATTTGAACCCAACTTCGAAATGATAATAAATATCGTGTGGATCCTCTATGAATTAGGCCCGTATTTGACCCAAAGTTAAGAACCCAAGTGCATGGAAGACGGCTAGCCTGGGAATCCTCAAAAAGCAATGGGTGACCTCTGCATTTTGTAAAAGCCTCAATTCTCGTGCATTTGGATGTGGCGATTTAATTTAGGAGTTGTCATAAACTTGTTATCCTTGGTAATGATCCTTGAGATGCCCGACCGTGAGGATGAATACAATCATTTTCTGAAATTGTCACGCTTGCACAAACTTGTTAGTAAAACCATGCACACAAAGGCGCTGAGCAAAAAAAAACAAGGAGGTGGGATCTTAAGGTCAAAAATTAGGGTGCGACAGAAATTATCATTGAAAGAGAAGATCAATCACAACATTGATAAACTTTGTATACACAGATTTCAAACTCATTGCAAATCAAAGATTGTATTTATTCCCCTTGCTATTCAGGATTATTGAAAGCAAGTGTGTGCATTGAAGATGATTGTTCTTCTTGCACTTAGTGTTCAGATTTTAAAGGTGTTAAAAGCCTTTAATCTACCTATAGGTTAGAAAATTAAGTTGTACACTCAGTCTAACTATAGTGAAATCTCTTTCGGTGTGAAAGGGGATTGGAGTACCTTCAGAGTGTGAAGGGAACCATGATACTTCTCTGTGTTATTTACTTTCTGCACTTTACTACTTTCATAACCCCTTCATATTTCAAAGAAAGTAATAATCTCATTTGATTAAAACCATAAAATTTCAAAGGACCTAATTCACCCACCCCCCCCCCCCCTCTTAGGTGCAACTCAGACTATCAGTGCTACCCTTTCACTCCATTCCATTTTCATAATTTTGGCAAAAACCATCAACCAACAATTTTAACCACAATTACTTACTTTTAACTGACTTAAACCTTACTATTTAATCCAAGAAACCCTAACACACAAGGACACACCTTCATTTTGCTCAAAACAGAATTAAAAAGACTCTTCCTCCCTTCAAAAATCTCTCTCTTTGAAACTCCAATTTCCTCCATTTTCCTAAAGATTTTGGATTGGTTTATCATCACTGAAGTATCAGGAAGCTATTCAAGGCATCTGTTTGAGGTTTGCAAGCTAGATCAAGAGCCAACGGAGCCACTTCGTTAGGAAAATTTTCTCAACTTTTCCATCCACGTTAAGCATGTTTCAAGCTTGTTTTTGTTGGTTCTGAAGCCCTACATTATTGTATGTATTGTTCATGATGTTGTTGTGTTGATTTGAAAGAATTTCAGCTTATGTTGAAAATTTTCGTGTTGGTTTTTCACTTTGTTTAAGCATTTCAACATATTATTGATCCTCATGACTTTATCTTCAATTTGGTGTATGATTTCATCGTGTTTGGTTAAGTTTACAGTCTTCTCCGGCGAGGCTGGCCGGAGAAGACGACCGGAGTAGGGTTTCGATGATCTAATGTTGTTGAGCTTTTTTACTTGCGTGGCCTATTTGAATCTTTGACTTTGTTGAGCAGGAGTGTACGTGGCATGAGGTGGACACCACCTTAAATTAATGAAACAATTCGTCTCATGTGTTTTGCTTCATTTCTGATTTTGTTGTAAACTGGAATGGGCCTAACCACTTTTTACTTTTTCCACCCCCTGATCTGAGCCCACGGTGCGTACCAATTGATTTCCTTTGTAATCAGGATTGCTCATACACCCCCTTCTTGTTTCTTATTATTTTTTTATTTCTTTTTTTTGTTCATTTTCTATTTTATTTTAATTTTATTATTTCTAATCATGATAAAATTACCCAAAAATATTTTTTAGATGCTTTGACATGTAGACTTATTTTTCATAATTTTTATTTTTATTTTAATATTTTATTTTGATTTATTTTCATGGAGTCTTCCATTAGACCTAATTTTGAAATATGACTTTGATTCATGAATTTTCCTTGTGGCTTTTGATCCATATTTTTGCACACGCTTAGGCACATATATGTAGGGTTTTTAAATGTCCATTTGACACCTTGGTCATTGATTTTGGTTTATATTTGAACCATTTTTGAAGCTTGGCTTGTGTGATCATGTTTGAATTTGGTTTACTTGATGTTTGAGATGTTTTGAACACCTTTTGTACATACTCTTAGGAACTCTTTTAGAGAATGTTGAGCCACTTCCATCTTGATACCATGATCATTTTTCCATAATTTTTGAAGCCTCTTAACTATTTTTCATGTGTGATGCATTGCTTGCCTAATTATTTGATTGTGCTTGAAATTTGTGGATTGATTAGGGATGCACTTGTGCAACCATTTAGGGTTTGTTCTTCCCTCTTGTTCTTGATGGATATAATATGTGTTAGAGATTCTTAATTCATTTTGTTTGGCATCTTTCCTATGTTTTCTTGATGCCTCAATGTGACATTGTCTTGAGATGAATGTGTTTAATGTTTGACCTAGTTTTGAGACGTCTTGTTTGCTTGTGATTGAGTGATGTTTCAGACACTTGAATAATGTGAATGCTTTGTTTGTACCCCTGCCTTAAAATGACTTGATGATCATTGTTTTGATTTTCACCTCCCTTACTTCACATGAACATTTGTTTCCTTTTATGAAGGGTGTTGGTTGATGCATGCTCAATTGTATGTGCTTGTATGTGCTTGTCTTGATGTAATGCTTATGTATCCTTCTTGAGGTCTTGAGTTTAGATTTGAATTGATATTTTCATGTTTGCTACTGCCCTGTCCTAGTTTTATACCATAATCTCACATGTTTGATTATTTGAAGTGTGTTTTTCATGAGTTGGTTGTTGCTATTTGTTTGGATATTGATGAGATGTATGTTTGACACTCTTGTGCACATTTTCTAATGTTTGAGGTGGGTTGATCATGATATGATGTTGGTCCGCCTTGTTTCCCACCTCATTTGAATTAATTTCACTTTGCTTGATGATTGAAAATGCTTATTGGATGATCTTAAGTCATGTGTGTATGCATTGGCACTTTGTCTTGCCAATTTGTTTTGACTTCTAATCTTTGAGTATGGTTTGGCATGTGTGTACACTTTGGATTATCTTAACATGGTGTTGATGTTTAACTTGTGTGATTGAGATCAATGCTTGCTTTTGTTTGATGCTTATGTCTTATAGAGTGAACTTCTTTGTTTTGTTTACATATTGTTGCATCTTCTCCTTCATCTCTCATTTTTCTTTCTTCTCTTTATTTTCTTGAAACATGTTTAAGTCTTGATCTTGCTTTCATTTGTGATTGATTAGTATAATATTTACTTGTGCTTGTTCACATGATCCTTTAGGATTCTTAGTCCCAATTAATTTCTGATTAAGGTGGGAGTAAGAGAGACATTAGGCTTTCAATCCTTTGCATGATAACAATCAGGATAGTCAGTCTTTGACCTCAACCTTAGGTCCATCATTTGTATGATAACATTAGGTAGATTTCCTTCTTATCCTAACTTTAGGACCATTTTGTATGATAACATTAGGATTTTCAGTTCCCTTTAGTGTTTTCTTTTTTGAGTCTTCTCTTCTCATCTCAAACAACTCTAAGACATTTAATAAAGAATGATGAACGTTGTGCGCCACGAGCCTTAAGCATAAGGGAAATGATGAGTGATGATTTTCTCCTCACTTATCTAGAGTGTTTAGTGTGTGCCCTTTATGCGATACGCGACGCATTCGCTCCTATATCATAGTCTTTAGTGCAACGTGAATCTCAAACAAATTCAATTCACTTCTCTAAAACTCACAAACAAAATTCAAACATTTTTATCCTTATGGATTGTGTTTCAAAATTATTTTCAGAAAAGAGTACGTTATTTTTTTCGTTCTACCGCAAACAGGCCTCGACCCTAACTGCTAGAATGGGAACTTGACGTCACTCATAAAAAACACTTAACCAACCAGTGATTTAGTTACCCGAACTACGTTTGCTCTAATTTCTCATACCAAATGAGGATACGTAGACACAAGACGACGATGTTTTAGCGAGCAACCTTCCCCCCATCACCCGTAGTTTTCTGAACTACGTTGACTTTGACTTTTCTATTGCACGAGGGAATACGTAGGCATAGGGCGGTGATGTCCTATCGAGCCTCATTTTTCTTATCTCGTTTTCGTTTAACAATAGCTTTTAGATAACACACCCTTTGATTAGACAACAAACGTGAATCCCGTTTAGTACAACGGACGTGAGGGGTGATCATACCTTCCCATTGCGTAACCGACTCCCGAACCCAAGATTTGGTTGCGATGACCTTGTCTTCTCTTTTCTGGAATTGTTTCCTTTCCCTCCTTTGGGATAAATAACGTTCGGTGGTGACTCTTTTGTTTGTTTCTGCCGATTGTTTTTCGCAATTACGACACCTATAAGGAGAAATAGTTCTCCTTTTGAAAAATTCTAAATGTGTCTTAAGAACAGTTCCATATTCAAAATTGACAGATTGAAGAATATTACAACCATAACGAATGAATGAACAACATTCATCAACTTCTATATATAAGTTGTAAGCTTTCTATGGCTAAGAGAATATAGATGGTATAGTCCTTTGTGACTAAGAAGTTTGATGTACATAGTGAAATCTCACATATTTAAAACTTATACACCTAAATACATTTATAATACTACTTACTTGAAAATGACTACAATTATACAGTAATTAACTTATACAACACCTTTAACTAGCCGCAACATTCTGATCTTTGTTTCTATGATATTTTTTACTTTCTATAATATTAGTATCACACTTTACAAGCGGCATTAGAGGATAGGCTTGTTAGCCAAACAGAATCACTAACAACAGATTCATCATTATCATTCTTATGCCATGTCCAACGTGCATGTGTTGCATTAACCACGTCAAATAACCCATGTCCAAAACTAGCTTCTCTGAACAATGATATATCTGGCTTAGGATCTTGGTACCTGTCAACACATATCACACTATTATTACTACTATATACACCTCACCTTTGATGATCTTGATTAATAACTAAGTATGATCATCAAAATCAAATAAAATATTAATCACCTTCTGGCTAGTCCTTCACGATTGCCACCATCCCCAATAGTAATATGCACCGGACCACAATTGTCACTTTTATCTTTATAAACTCGAGTCTGTAAAAATAAATAAAATTATCATTTTCTACGAGAAAAATGTTAGATATATATTCTCTAATATTGATGAAATAAAAAAATAAAATAAAAAACTTACAAAGCGTTCATAGGCATGAACATGCCCTGCAAAAACAGCGTCAACGCGAGCATGATATAGCAAATCTTCAATAGAAGCCTTCATGTCAATAGATTCATCATCATCCTGATGAGCTTTATTAGTATTATACCATGGAGCATGAAGCAACACCACTATCCAAGGAGTCTTTGCCCTATTTATCTTCTGTAAATCCCCTTGAAGCCATTTGTATTGCGTAGAACTTTGGTGAAAATCAGTATAAGATCCCAACATTATGACATGAACACCGGACACATCAAAAGAGTAATAAAGGTTAGAGTCTGATCCACTCTCTTCGAATGGCATTTTCCATCTTGCATTGTATGCTGTGAATGGTGTTTTGTGGATGCCTGGAATCCTTTCGACTTCATGGTTACCTTGAGTGACCATCCATGGACGTTGGCTTGCTAAAGGTTCAACCAAACGACCAAAGGAGTCCCATAGATTTTGTATAAAATCAGCATAGGATAAGTCTCCTGGTAATAGCAACATGTCGTAACTTGAGTTAGCTATATGGTTCAGAGTTGAAGTTGTCCACCCCGTCTGTCCAAGATCTCCTATAAACGAAAATTATGACACATCATCATCCAAGAAAGTCATTGTACTAAAAATGCATAATTATTGCAGTAAGATGTTAGCTTTTTTCATTTTTAACCCTTACATAAGAATGTCCCCACATCATATTAAGTACATAATTGTAGTTCCTTAAATATGTTGGATAAGGTTATTGAAGTTCATTAATTTCTCATTTGTGCATCTTTTACTTTTTTTTTCAACTGGAGGATGAAAAAAACAGTAACATAATTGAATTAAAAATATAGAAGACATACCAACTATTGCAAACTTGATTGGAAATTGACCAGGTGCAGTCTTGAAATTGTATGTTTTGGGAGATTCACCCAAACGGTAGTGGTAGACTGTGTTAGCCTTGAGAGGACCAATTACAACGTTGTGAATTTTACCGGAGTTATAAATAATATAACGGTAAGAAGAGGTGGTTCCAGTGACAGAAATTTTATTTTCCGAAAGAAATTGATTGTATTCCACTTTTGCTAGGGTTGGGTTACCTGTGATCCATGATATTCTCATCTTGTCTTGACCAACTTGAGATATATGTACCTGAAAATCTCAGAGTTTTTTCATTAGCCTTATGAACTCTAATGAATAAAATAGCAACATTGTTAGGAAAATATATGGATGAAGGATGAATGGTTTGGCACCTGTTGTGGCGCGGAGTCGTCATCTTTGTGAAAGGTAAATATGGTTTTACGAGGGGGTGGTCGATTGTAGCCATAAACGACGTCGAATCGTAGGTTTTCTATAATAATTATTGAAATCAAGAGAGCTGAGAAAGGAGAGTATGCTCTCTTGATTGTCATTTTATTAGGTTCCTATTTTTTTGAAGAAAAGGGATAGAGGTTGAAATTGAAGGGAAAATAGAGCAGCATTATATTTATTTATACCCGAAGTTGAAGAATGCTAGTATTGTTTTTTTCCATTAATATGGAATGTTTGCGAATATTTTTCTTGTTAATTTTTTCATGTATTTTAAATAAGGTCAACTGGCTTATGGATGTCCTAGATTTTAATTGGTTATGTGTGTCTCTCTCCGTCGTAAGATTATATTGGAAATGCTACTAAATAAATATTTTGACAGAGTTTCTTATACCTAAAGTTTACATTAAATATAGTGTTTTAAATCTGGATATTTGGCCTTATGAACTAATCAATCCTACTATTCACTATCGAAATATTAAATATTTTAATTGGTTATGTGTCTTTAGGGGTGAAAATAGATTTAGTTAAATCTTAAAAAGTTTGAATCTGTTATAAGACCTCAGTCTTATCTACAGATTAGTATAGGTTGTTTTTTGGTATGGTTTGATATTTTTAAAAGTTTGACCGGATATAAAAGTTTTTTTTATTAAGATTTTTAATTAATCAACATTACTTTATATATATATATATATATAGGTCGGTCTATTTAGTATTTTTTATGATATATATATATATATATATATATATATATATATATATATATATATATATATATATATATATATATATATATATATATATATATAAAAGAGGTTAGTTTATTTAACATTTTTTTAATATATAAGCATATATAGGTCAACATATTTAGACTATTTTTAATATATATATGAAAATATAGGTTGACCTATGAGTTTTCATAGACTTTTCAATAGTCTAAGCCTAACTTATTTAATTAAATAGACTTTTAAAAAAATTAAATTTAAACTTTTTTATTAAATAGATCTGTTCTAATCTTAAATAGACTAGACTATAGGTCTCTATAGATCGGTCTTGCCTATTCTCATCCTTGTGTATCTTTCATTGATAAATGTGTTATAAATAAATATTTTAATAGTTTTACAACTTTATTAACTATAAAATATATTTTATTAATCACTTATTTATATATAATTATTAATCACTTATATTATTTCATTAATTAATAAAATACATATTAGTATTAATTACTATCTATTTAAATGATTAATATCATATATTTTATTGATTAATAAAGTAATAAAATTGATTAATAAATTTTATAAAATAAGTGATTATTAATATATATATATATATATATATATATATATATATATATATATATATATATATATTTATTTATAATTAGTTAAGTAATAAAACTAGTTAATGGAATAATTTAATATTTAGGTTACAAAATAATTATTTTTATTTTTATTTAAAAAATTATTACGTAAATTATTATTTTTAGTTTTAAATTTTTTTTTCAAAAAATAATAATAATTGTTCAGCGTATAAATGCAATGAACGATGAACATTAGATGATGTCAACTTTTGAGGTAGGAACTTGTGTGACCCTAACATTGTTGTTAAATCTTCATTCAACATCTAAAAAGTCTTGTTAATTATTATATTTGTATATTTGTGAAGGTCTTAAGAGGCGACATAAAGACCTTTAATCACGTGTTTATAAGGTTGATTGCCTCTTTATCAAATGTATCACCATTTTATTAGATATTTCGTCTTTCATTAGGATAAGTCGTCCAACGTACGTAGAAATTGGTGAGTGGCGTCTCATCATCTTTTAACGGCATAGAAGGAGTTGTGAGAAAGGTGGATTACACTCTTCTGAATATCAAGATTGTAGTTGTCAAAAAGTATATAATGCATGGCACCCCTATGTTGGTAAGGGTGGTCAGAAGCCTTAGTAATTTTCTGGTAGATTATGGCTTGCTCACGGTGGTGAGAGATCTTGTTCGGTGGTGTTTGCGATGATGAGAGAGCAAGCTCACATGAGGTGAGAAGCTCTATAGCTTTTGGAGATATATTGTGTGTATTAAGATTTGTCTCTTTTCATACTAAGGATGACATATTTTATATAGACCCTTAGGACTAGGGTTTACGGTACTCCTAAGAAGTGAGTAAAGAAGTGAAAAAAGGAATAGGGAAGCCTTTATAAGGAAATTGGAGCCACAGGCGCTTAAAGACTTTTTAGGCTCCCCACGAGCTTTGAAAGAACTTCGCATATGTGTGATATGTGCTAAGATTGTTTAACATCTCAAAAAATAATCCACCATTACTTCCATTAAATAAAATCAAGTATGTTCATCTAGGTGGTTGATAATTGACATCCTTAGCTAACACGTTAGCTATTCAAGAGATACATGGCTAGGGGTGATGACTCACCTACAACGGTGAGATTTTCCTCTAACTGGGGGACTCACCTCCAACTAAAGGAATCGTCTTCACCTAATGGACTCGCCCCTAACTAAGGGGTTAACCTCCAAGTAAAGGAGACACCTTCAGTTGAGGGACTTACCCCTAATTGAAAGATTATCCCTTAATCGTAGAGTTCAACCTAAGGAAACGAGAAGCTTAAAATAACTCTCACTTCACAATTCCTCGTGCTTGAAGGACTATGTAGTGATATACTTGTAAGGGCTCTCAAATGAGGCGTCATATGTCTCTCACCGGGCGCCTGCCCCAAGATGCGTTATACTAAGTGTAACCTTTATGTGGCACGGGGACTCGCCCTAAGGTGAAAACACCTTAAACTAGTCCCTAACATTTTGGGCTTCATTAAGGCCTTCAAAATGGTGTGCAAAATGTAACACCGTAAACTCCGATTCTTAATATAAGAGAGAATTTTCACAACTTAGTATGCTACTAAAAACAAAACATGCAAATTCAAGAGTATTTTTCAAAAAAATCGCATTGAAAACTCAAAATATCTCAAAACATTAAATAATTATTTAAAGCAAATACTCAAAGAAATAAATCCAAATAACAACTCAAACAAAACAATGTGCCTTGTCCCTAATGTTACATATCAGAGCATATAAATCATTAAAAAACGATAAATGTAACTATAAGCGGAGACAACCTCCAAGGCCATCTTCCAACTTGCAAGCAACTACTCCTGTTGAGTATCTGATTGGTTGTAATCCAAAGAAGCACAAAGGCCACAACAACAAAAAGTGTTAGAATACACCTTACAGATGATAACGGTGAAATTAGCAATAGGGTGGTAAATAACTAATTCATAAGTACATCATTCACACGAAAACACAATCAAAGTCAAATAATGATGCAAATGTTAATGCCACAATTTCCTCATGAAAAATGTATGTGGTGTCGGGTTTTAGGGGTCAGAGGTATGTTACTGATTTACCCATGTCTCTGATTCCTCTTTAACAGTGTCTCTCTCTGGACGTGAGACCGTCATAGTCCCTCTTTGAACCAGGACATTATTGGACCAAAGTCCTACCAAACTTTGAAATAAATGCATGTATGATCATATATAATTTAAGCATGCAACATCATAAATATTATAAATATCATAAACATCATCAATATCATAAGCATCGTAAAAATCATAAACATCATCAGCATCATAAGCATAATAAATATCATAAACATCATCAACATCATAAGCATTGTTAACATCATAAACATCACCAAAAACATCATCAAGAGATTCCACTATTGAACCTATAGGTTGCCAGTCACAGGTCATCATTGTAATCCTTTCGGATTACTAATCATCAAAAATCGCCAATTAAGGTCGTCACTGTAATCCTTTCAGATTACTAAACGTCAAAAATCGCCAATTAAGGTCGTCATTGTAATCGTTTCAGATTATTAAACAAAAAAAGTCTTTAAAATATATTTATTTTTCATCAAAAAGAGTAAATTAAAGTAATTTTACTACTCAAACCTCCAACTCATCAAAAACTCTTAGGAAAACTCGAAACATCTCAATACTTCTAAGTTCTAAAAAATGACTCTAGAGTACTCCAAATGTACTCTAAAGTATCGAAAGTGCTCTCAAGATAAATATTTCACAAGTGATAACTCTACTAAGAATAAAGGTTGACAGATGACTCAAATTATTCAAAAGTGACCCAAAGGGTAGTGAAAGATCAATTGTGTTGAAAATTGCTCAAACACATCACTAGAGTAATTATCATTTATATTTTACTCACAACCCATTTTGTCTTTAATTAAACAGACTTTTCAAGGCAAACTCTAAAACAATTTCCACAACTCTAAAGTGCTCAATGACAACTCTTGCATGATCGACATAAACACAAAAATAACTCTAAGAGCTGGAGGTCTAACTCAAGTAATAATTTAACCAAAAAAACTTTAATAGAACGAATCTGTCTCTTAAACTTATCAATAGAGTAACAAAAAGGCAACTAAAAAACTACTGAAACCGCTGCCGACTACCGCTGCCACAAAATGCTCGAAATTACGCCGCTGACACGACCATATGTGATTGATCAATTGTTTTATTTTTTAAAAAATTTATACTTGTGTAACCTTCTACACGTTCTATTAATTAAATTTTTAACAATTTTGACCAGTGCCAACATGTTCTATTAAATTGGTTAAATTTTAGAAAATTTCACGGAGAAGATATTTACGTGCTAGGTTCGTCATACATATATATATAAGGATATGCACCGATAATATAAATTTTTTTTGCACTGTCAACCAATCACCACTATGCATTATGCCAAATCATCCTAATATTTTTAAGTTAGTTGTATGACATGGTTGATTGATGAATTCTTATTGAATAACAGTGTAAAATTATTTTACACTGTCAGCACACTACCTTTAAAATTATTTTACACTGTCATCCTAAAGTGGGTCAGAGATAACGTCTGTGATGCTGGGTGTGATAGATGAGGAGGGGGGTGTATCTGCAAGGCACTCCGATGCTAAAGTGAGAATCGGGAGAAAAGATGGAAAGTACAGAGTATGTGTGTGTTATGATGAATATTAAATACTTGGCCCTCTCAAATGAGAGGGTTTTATAATGCCCCCAGCGCTTGGCCATTGATTCTTATTTTCAGGG